ATTGTCACTTTGTGAGAGAGAAGGTTCTTAGTGGAGTAATAAGTACAACATATGTTAACACAGGAAGTCAATGGGCAGATTTGTTCACCAAAGGGTTGAGCCAGGCGAGGGTGGACTACATATGTAACAAGCTGGGATTATATGATATATACTCACCAGCTTGAGGGGGAGTGTTAGTGTCGACTATATAGGGGCAGGTTAGTCTTTTTGTTTATGTTCACTTGTTCAGTAAGAGGTGTAATGTTAAGTGATGTGTCCCATACTTAAGTAGGGGTACAAGAGTCAATATGTTTTTGATATAGAAAGGTATAAATATAACCTGGTCGACTAGAGAGAGCAATTTTTCTCTCTCTAGTTCGAACCAGCCTTTCTCTCTTCACTCTTCTCCTCTCTTCCTCTCTCTTTTCTCTCCCTCTATCTTCCTTATCTTTTCTTCTCTGTTATTTTGAAAACTAGCAGGTATACAGATCTGAACTTTATCGGTCCACATTGATCATCACTCTCTAACCGAGTTGCAGTTAGTCCACATTGATCAGAGGATAGGAAGCATAGTGAGGTAAGTGCAACCCCTCTTTGCCCCCTCAGTCAAGTTCTCCACCCTTGGCTTCTCCTCTGAATAAAGAAAGTGTGATTGATGATGTAGCAGTGACATGGAAGGCTTCCATTGGCCCAGGGGTAGGTAGGCCTAGCTTGAAGAGGAAGAGAATGGGGGGAGAGTAATAGAGCTTATAACAGAAGGAAGAGGTCCAAGAAAGGTAAGAAGGGAAATGTGGGGAAGAGTGAAGTCAAGGTGTGGGAGACAGGGGAAGGTTTAAGTAATACTCTGGTAGAGAGTGAAAGTGGAAATGAAAGAAGTGAAACCCCACTTGGAAGAAGCAAATGGATATAGACAAGTTGGTAGGGAGACAGGTAGAGGTCGGCAAGTCTTTCGGTTTATTCTTCCTGGGAGGGGAAGAGGTAGAAAGGCCATAGATCAATTCGAAAGAAACAGAAGGGAGGAACAATTTAAAAGGGTTGCCGGTGGGGAAGGGGAAGGGAAGGAAGTAGGGAAGGCTGGTGAGGAGTGAAGGGGTTGCAGGCAGAGGGGGGAGGGACAGAAGATGAAGTTGATTTCTTGGAACGTGAGAGGATTCACGGATGGAAGAAAAAGGGAGATGGTACAAAATTTTCTGAGAAGTTACAGTCCTGATGGTAAAATGTCAGTCATCTATTTATCACCTGCAAGGTTGCTAGCTTCATGTGGCGAATATTTACTACTATGTTCAGGGTTTTTGGATATCACCCAGTTTTCAGTTGCAGATATCTTTGCTTCGCGGCCTAAGTCGGGAGGAAGTAAGAAGGCGAAACTGAATTGGAGCTGCATCCCTCTTGCTATAGTTCGGAACATATGGAAGCAGAGTAACAGAAGAACATTTGAGGGCAGAGCATGCAGTAGGGTTTGGATGGTAGCTGGTGTTAGCAGATCTGTGGAAGACTGGGTCTTGGTTGGTCCTCCCAGAATTTAGGCAAGCTGATAAGGAGGATCTGGGGATTAAGTTAGGGGAGGTTCTGGGTATTCAATTATGTAATGTGGAAAACGCGTTCTGATTTTCAGATTGCGTTCTATTAGGGTGATGACTTGTCACCCATCAGATTGTACTACCCCTTTTTGATTTTTAATGAATTTTTACTTATAAAAAAAATATTTAAAGTATTTTGGTTGGAAGACACCTTGTAATGTAGCATTTCAAGTTCTGATTTGTTTGAAGTGATGATCGTCTTGCTATTTGCCAATATTATATTGCTAAGCTGATATGCGTTGTCTCAACTTATATTCACATGACAAGTACAAAACCAAACTATTTTAAAAGTCAGGCTTCAAAAAAAGTATTTTTAAAGTCAAAAGAACACAAATGCATGCATGTTAGAGTGAGCCGAATAGGGGTAGTTTAGTAATCTCRTGTCAGTTAAGTAYTTTGCTTATGTGGCTGTTTTATTAGAGTACTCTGCCCCACACTTAAGTGNATGTGGCTGTTTTATTAGAGTACTCTGCCCCACACTTAAGTGAGGGCAGTTTAGTCTTTGTAAGTGTAATTAGAACCTAATAAACATTAGGGGGTCGACTGAAKGKRWGACTAATCAGTTTCGACTAAACCCTCCTGTTCTCTGTTTCTCGTCTTCTTCCTCATCTTCTTCTTCCTTCTTCACTGGTTCGGGTTACTGTAGCTGCTCGAAAACAATGCATTATTGTGAAGGAACTCTCACAGACGTGGCAAGGAGCATGTTAAAATTCAAAAATGAATTTCAAACAAGTTTTTTTTTAATGAAAAACAGTTGATAAAATTCTGATCTGCACTAGAATTCTGTTAGTATTAGTATTAGAGCGGTAAGTGGGTATACACTGTTAAGTATATCCACTTAAACAGTGTATACCCAAACATATGGTATAGCAGATTCCTAATGTACCTAAATACAAATGAAAAAAAAAAAAGTATAGTAGATTCTGTATCAAATTGAAAAAAAAAACTCTAAGAACAATTCAACCTAAAAGCTTAAGCTGTTAGGTGAGGTCCTTGAATAGGTTGATATTCTCTAACACGCCCCTTACACGAAAGCCCACTGGGCTTGAAGCGTGAACAAACATAGGCCCTCCCATACCTTGTGCTGAAACTTATTTAATTATAATGGGGGTAACGAGGATCAAACACTAGACCACTTGGTCAAAATGGCTTTGATACCATCTCTAAGAACCATTCAACCTAAAAGCTTAAGCTGTTAGGTGAGGTCCTTGAATAGGTTGGTATTCTCTAACAACAGTATAGTTTTATTAAAAGATAAAGATTAAAATACAAGGGACCCGCCATCCCAGAGGTTGAGATGGCCAAACCGAAATTTGTTCTAATCAGAAAAACAGTACATCAAGTAGAAATCCCATCCCCCCCAGAATAGATTCTTTCTTTCTACCCCTTGTCTTGCTAACCCATCTGCCAATCTATTGGCAGCTCTGTAAACCCACTGAACAGCAACAACTCTGCCTCATTTTAACTCATTGATCTCTCTCACAAAATGCCTATACTGCCATAGGCACTTTTCTTCATTTTATACCCACTCCGTCACCACTTTTGAATCCCCCTCAAGGCTTCAACAATGATATTGGTGTAGTTGTTTCTCTTTAGAAGCTTTAATCATTGTAGCACTGCTAGGATTTCTGCTCTAACTGCATTTCCATGGCCTGTAGGTCCAGAATAAAGTTCAATTATACTCTCATCATGATTTCTAAAGACTCTTAATGCCAGATAAACTCGGGTTGCCTCTGCTGTAGCCATCAAAGTTTATCTTGATTAATAGTCGTGGGGGCAGAACCCAGCTTGGTTGGATAGTGATTCTGGAAATGGCCAAATTAGCTATCAGCCCCCAATTTCTGAGGATATCATCAAAGGTAAAGGCGTTGAACAGGTTTAAAGACTTCACCAAGTGTGCCACTCACACAGTGATGAGATCAATGATGACTCTTCTATCTTGGAACTAGACCTTGAATAACCTGCCATTCCTTTCCTCCCATAGCTACCAAAGGATTGCAGCTCTGGAACATCTCCATAAGATCTTACCTCTTCCTCTGGGAAGGCTGAAAAAAGAGGTGCTGAACAAAGATTGCAGATTTGGTGGAGGCATCTAGCTGCATACAAAGAGAACAAAAAACCTCTCCCAAATACCAGTCAAAAGAACGGATTAGTAGATGGAGAGAGTTCTTGGTTCACAGCCGCAATGTCTTGGTTCAACCTATACACCCGAGCAAAGTTCTTTTCACCCTCCTCTTCAAGGTCTCTCTTTTCACCCTCCCCAACTTTGTTTTTACCCTATTTTCAGCTTGCAGCTTAGAGGCTTCCCTGGATCCTGAAAAAWGTTTCAAGCACAGAGCAAAGGTTAGAACTTAAAACCGAATTGACAAAAATAGCTGGTTCTTGATGAGGGGAAGACACCTCCACACTAGACGAGTAATTTGTCTTTTCCTGTTCAGATGTTTGGAGCCTACTAATTGCCCAACTTGGGATTTTAGTGGGGAGTCTCCTGTCAATGTATTAATCCTCTGATTACTTTCACAGATCTGTTGCTCATCCCTCCCTGGACTCTCCCTGTTCAGTCTCCAGTGATCCTCTATGACTTCCTTATGGAGTACGAACACCCTACCTCGAAGAAGAATTTGGTCCTGGTACCTTTTTGTTTGAACTTTGGATTCCCACCTCAGCATCCTCCACCCCTGCTTTTTGCCGCTGGACCCGAAGACGAGGCCTCCTTTAGTCTACTCTCTTCTACTGTAAATAGAATATCTATGTTCAGGTAATTGTATCCAGTATTTGCATATATTTTTTTTTTTATATTTTCATTAAGTTTTGGGTGAAATAGTCAACCCCATATAGTTGGGACATGGCTTGATGATGATGATGATTTAGTTTTGGGTAAAATAGAAAAACTATCTTAAATAGAAATGGCATTTGGGAAAGCTTGAACCCCGATGACATTTGTGAAAACTGTCTGTACTGTATTAGAACTGCGGATATACAAGCTGGTGTGTGAGGCCTTGACATCTCCTGTCCCATCCAACCTGGATTTGACTGGATTTCCAGTGTGATTGGGTTGTACTAGACTGGCGTCATAAAAAACCAAGGCTCATGTGGCCCTAGCTCCATGCTGGGCCTGCTGGGCTGGCCACCTTTGCCACCCCTTTTTCATTCATCTTCTCTGTATGGTACACAGTGTTGTTTGTTACAGTTTTTTATTAGGGACTGTGGGTGTTGGGGCTGGAAGAAGTGATATTTTTTTCTTTATGTTTTGATTCCTTGGATGCATAACTTTGTTTTAGTTCTCAAAAGCAAATGCCAAGCTTTCTTCCCCCTTTCAGTGAGATGGATTTATTATGTCAAGGTATCATCATCTGATCGGACTGCATCATTAAATTTATGATATAATCTGTTATTTTAGCTGTTAGATGTCCAGTTGCTAACCCTTTTTCTTTTTGTCAGGAAGCTGCTGCATATTCCCGAACCTGGAGAGGCCACTTACAGAACCTACTGGGTTATGCCCTCTCTGTCTATTGTGTCTATAAGATGATAAAGGTATTTAGGTTGTTTTTGGACTGGAAATCATATCAAGTCTTCCATTCGTGAATGGTGTTCTTTTGAATATAATGGAAATTTTTTCTGGGACATTCAAAATTGCACCCTGTTTTCATTGTTTCTTGGAAACTAGTTTGGACTTAATCAACCTCTATCTGAATATCTTGTAGTTTTTTTTGGCCATGGAAAAAAATCCTTTAGATGTTTTGTTGATAATAATAGAGTAACAGGATGAGGATATACGACCAACAACAATTAATTTCCTCCATCTAGGGCCAAAGCATTGTATGCAAGAACATAGTCCAGAAAGGCTTACTGTATCACTGGATCTTTTATTATTATTATTGTTGTTGTTGTTGTTTTTATTGTTGTTGTTATCATGGTTCACTGGATCTTTATGGAACTGTTTCCCCAAATCTAGCTTGCATGCCCCACTTGCCTCCTTCTGCARCCCATGACTGAATCAACATTATGTGTTTGATCATGTTGAAAATTTTCTTGTACTTAGCTTTTGTATGTGTCATTTAACATATGAAGATGTACCCATGTTCAGTTAATACCTTGAGAAAAGGTTCCTGATTGATTATGCTGTGTTTTGCAGTCTTTGCAGAGTGTTGTTTTCAAACAGGTGCGCTTATTTCATGAAATTTTCTGCATTTAGTTGTACTTGTTCACTTTGTATTTAAGTTCCAAAAATTTCTCTAACATAACTTCCGTTTTTGCTTTAACAATATTTGTTATATTAAATAACCAGCTCATGCATTTAATTTCCTAAATTTTCCTTTCTTTTGCAGGCTGGGTCTGTTGATCCTGTGACAATGATGATCAGCATATTATTACAGTTCTTTGATATTGGCATAGATGCTGCACTATTGTCTCAGGTGCATATGACTACTAAGTTAATAACTTTCAGCACACAAATTCTTTTCATTAAATGGCTTCATTTATATCTTCTCAAACTAATTCAGAAAAAAAAAGAAAAACATGTTGGCAAAATGTGCCCTTTCTATATGTTACAAGCTCATTACTATATATGTTATAAAATTTAATTTTATCTTTCCACATTTTGCAAGTTTTTTTATCAGTAACTGTCAAAAAAATTTATTAGACATATTAAGTGTCAACTTTTACACTTTATACATGAATCCTTTAATCAATAGGCTAGCCTCAGCTAACTGATGCAGTACTTCCCTTTTTTTTGAGCAAAATTTAACCATATTTCATTAGAAAATGAAACAGTACATTAAAGGATGTACAAAACAAGGGGAGAACCCCAAAGGTTTACAGAGGAAGAAGTCTGTCACTATACAAAACTCCTATAGAACACCACATTTGGCTAGACCATCTGCTATGTGATTTAAGCAGTCCAGGGAGTCCCTAGCCTCAGCCAGGTAGTGGCTCAATCTCCAAGGTCCCCCCCCTCCTTGTCCCTTAACCATTTTATAGTATTTTCTGATTCACCTGCAATGATTAAGTTCTGAATTCCCAGGTTTTTTACTATTCTGATTCCTGTGAAAGCAGCCATCACTTCAGCCTTTGTAGAGTAAGCCAATCCAATTGGACCACTGAAGGTCCAGCAGATGTTACCCCTCTCATCCCTTAAAATGCCTCCTATGCCATCTGGGCCAGGATTGCCTGATGCGCTTCCATCAAAGTTTATGGTCACCACTCCTTTACTGAGAACAGCAGGCTGTCTCTGGATTGCTTGTTGAGGGTGTGGGAGAAACAGATACATGTGAGCATCTCTGTTAAGGCCATTGACTGATTGACTGAGAGACCTTTAAACAGATCTGAATTAACAACCCAGAGGTTGCAAAGGTAAGTGATGTCTGAAATTAACTCTTCGAGGGGCCTGAATTTATTACCAAACAGGTGTTTGTTTCTTTCCTCCCAAGCACCCCACATTACTGCATGAAGCACAGTTTGCCAATAGACTTTACCTCTTTTGCTTAGGTCTAAACCTTGCGACTGATGTAAGAAATCCATAATATGCTCAGAAATAACCCAATTAAATCCAGCCATTCTCAAGAAATGAAACCATATTTTTTGAGTGAATTTGCAATGAAGAAGAATGTGATTGGCTGATTCACCCTCACTTAGACATAATAAGCAAACATGAGGAGAGATACAGAGTTATTGATCAAAAAAAAAAGGAGAGATACAGAGTCTCCCCAGATTCTTTTTCTGAAGGAGGTCACATGTGTTTAATCTCTGAAGACAAGCTTCCCAGACAAAGAAACAGACTCTTGAAGGGATATGGCTGCACCAGATCTTGCATCATACATAAGGGATGTATGGTGCAGTACATCCCTTATATATTGAAAATATTGCTGAAGCTTCATTGAGTAAAGGGAGCATCCAAAATTTCATAGAAGTATATAAAGGAGAAAGAGGAATGAAGAAGAAAATGCAGTCCATTTGTTTAGTCCAGTTTCTGTCGATCTATATCTGTTTAAAATTTTTAAAAGTCCTATTAAATGTCTTAATTAGTAGTCTAATTGAGTTCAGTTTTCTATTAGAAGTCAGTGTTAGTTTCCTATTATAAGTATTTCCTAATGCAAGTCAGTTTCCTCTTTTTGAGGGAAGTCCTATTGTAATAGACTTATAAAATTCAGATGTAGTGTCCATACGATTTCAGATAATAATAATAATAATAATAATAATAATAATAATAATAATAATAACTGTTCTAGTCGAACTAGAGAGAAAAAGTCTCTTCTCTAGTTGGCCAGACTTTATTTATATCTTTCTAAACAAAACAGAATTACTCTTATGCCCTCACTTAAGTGAGAAACACATCAGCTAACTTAAGATCTACGCATAATTACATTTAACATATAACTTAATGTAAAAAGCCTATACTACCCTTCTACAGCCGACTCTAACACTCCCCCTCAAGCTGGTGAGTATATGTCACATATGTTGTACTTATGTAGTCCACTCTTCCCTGACTCAACCCTTTGGTAAAAAGATCTGCCCATTGATTTCCTATGTTCACATATGTTGTACTTATCACTCCATTGAGCACCTTCTCACGTACAAAATGGCAATTGACTTCTATATGCTTCGTTCTTTCATGAAATACTGGATTAGAGGAAGTAGTCATACAAGACTATAGACATCTTTAGGTTTTGAACAGAAAATAAAAGAGAAGAAGAAAAAAGAGAAGAAGAGAGATAGAGAAGGGGCACTTGTGGGAGAAGCTTTGAAAGAAGAGAATGGTTGGAGTGCTTAAAACAGCCACCCAACTCCTTAATTTATTTACATAATTTCCTAATTGTAAAAGAACTTTAATGCTTACATTGGCAATAAAAGATAAGATTAAAATAAAACTAATCCTAGATAAGATAGAATAAAACTTATCCTACTAGGAAAGCTGATCCTAATCAATTAAATCTATGTACATCTTAGGGTGTCACACGACTACTCTTAATGTGGGGTCCATAGTTTCCTACAGAGGAGATATGAATTGCAGCTTGATTATCACAATATAGCTTCATAGGAGTGTCAATCAAGTACCCCATTTCCTCTAGGAGATGCTTCAACCACACTAGTGTTAGACAGTTTTGTATGCCCTTAGCTTCAATCAGAATGATGTACTTTATGAGTTTATTGTAAATGAATAAAAGTGCATATTTGATTCA